AGTACATTGCACTAATCAAGGCACTCTACTCAAACTCCCTTAGCCATGCAAGGGCTTATGGGGAATTGTCATCTGAATTGATAACAACCAGTGGTGTCCGTCAAGGATGTCCACTTACCCCATTTCTGTTTAACTTCATCATACATATGCTAATGGAAGTATCCTCAACTGAACTTAACGACTTAGGAATCGACTTGTTACCAGGGAATAGTCTCATGGACTTAGAATATGCAGATGACATAGTCCTGTTAGGGGAGGATGCTGACAAAATGCGGAGTCTTCTGAACACCTTGAGCAGCAATCTTCGTATGTTTGACATGCGATTCGCCCCTGTGAAATGTAAGATGCTGCTACAGGACTGGACTACGTCTACCCCTAGCTTAGTGAAAGCGAGTGAAGTGATAGAACACGTTGACCACTTCACCTATTTGGGAAGTTGTATCAGCATCAACGGACTGATTGGTGACGAAATCTCAGCACGGATCCAAAAAGCTCGGGCTGCTTTCGCTAACTTACATCGTCTCTGGCGTAGGCGTGACATCCGGCTATCAACCAAGGGACGTGTTTACTGCTCAGCAGTTCGCTCCGTCCTTCTCTATGGCTCTGAAACATGGCCAATACGAGTTGGAGACATGAAAAGGTTGACTGTCTTTGATCATAGATGTCTACGATCTCTTTCTCACGTTAGGTGGAATGATAAGGTAGGTAATGTTGACGTTAGGCGTAGAGTGTTGGGCAAAGAGGGGTAATCGATCGAAGAGGCTATAAAGATACATAGATTGAGATGGCTAGGTGAAGTGGTGCGCATGCCTAACCATCGCCTCCCCAGACAGACGGGCATTACTAGCTGATATAGGTGTTGTGGGTTGGAAAAGAGTAAGTGGTGGCCAAACAAAAACATGGCCTCATCAATCCATGAAATCCTTAACGGTTAAACGGAGTCATTATCAATGGCGCAGATGTATTCAGTCTCTTGTGTAATCTTTCATATTCCTTTCTACCATTACTCATTTTGTTTCACTCTTATACTTGTCAAAGCTCTATTGATTCTCTTCACTCATCTTCTTGTCTACCTTTGTGTGGCATTTGGAACGTGGCAACTGGAACTGCTGCACTTCGGTGCCAAGTTCTATGTTGAATCCAGACAGACAGACATTATATAGCGCATTCATGCATTTCAGTATGTGCCCACCAAAGGTTTTTATCGACTGATCTTGAAAGCTGTTTCTATATCCTTCTTGTGATATATATCAATTAGGCGTTTTGTTATTAACGAACCTGGTAGTCTCCTTCCTGCCTTTATCGAGATTTCAAAGTTCCTTTTTGGGTATATGTCTGCGGTTATTCTTCCCTATTTATATGTGATGACACGCGTACATATGTACTTCTATATACAAAATAAGATGTGCAGATAAAATAACTTTATTATTACCCTTGACCTATTGTGGTTATCATTAGTTTAATTATTATTACAGTACCAAGAGTAGCATTCGTTATTAACCTTCTTTAACGCTTATCACATCTTATCATTTTTATTTTAACAACTTTTCATATAAATTGATTTGAGAAGTGAGCCTTTGGGATCAGATTGTTGGAAATCTTCATGAGATGGTTTGCAGGGATTAGATATTGAACTGATATTGGTTAGAGGACCACTGGAAAACCTGCCAGGGAGTGCTGGACAGCTAGCTGATTCATCAGCCTAGTTTGGGGCTCTTCAGCACTACGCACTCACCAGCAGTGTTCGAACCTAGAACCCTCCAGCTACAGGGCTTGCGAGTTCGTAGACCGTTAAGCCACTGGGACCCGATGTAATGGTCATTCCACGAATTCCAACTTTTCCCAATTCACAAACGATACAGCGCGGTTGATGGTGAGTATTTGTCCTCACATCAGATTAGTATTCAAATGTTGGTTTGCAGGGATTCGACTGGCCCTATTCAGGTTGGTAGTTACCTGGGGTTATAGTAGGAAGCCGTGACCAGTGGGGTACAGCAGGTCGGGTGTAAGGACGAATACTCGCCACCGGTGAGACTGGCTAGTGGCAATCGCTTTATATCATGAGTTGGCAGACGTTAGAATTCATGGGCTAGCCACTGGATCGGGTCCCAATGGCTTAATGGTCTACGAGCTCGCTCACCTTGTAACGAGGAGGTTCTCGGTTCGAACCCTGTCGGTGGGTTTGTACTTCTGAAAGGTCCCAAACAGGGCAGACGAAACAGCTGTACAGTTCTCCCAGATGGTTGGAGAAGTATTGCCCAGACGCAGTATTCTTCATTCGGATAAACTCTGTTTTCCCGACTTAATGTGATCCAAATTTATTCATCGAAGTAATTGTTTTTAAAAAAAATTGTCAATACTAATTTTTATTATTTTTGTTTCTTTGAATTATTTCAAAGAAATCGCCTGATAGTGTATATTTGGCGCTTTAAAAATTCAAAAAAAAGGCCAACCAATTAAATGGGCTTTTTGTTTAAACCGACATTCTATTTGATTTATGATGAAAATTGTGTAGATGCTATAAAGGCATCTATTAGGAATCTGCAAATCACGCCATTCCTTATTGCGAATAAGAAGTTTTAAGCATATGATGTATGTTACAGCTGAGTGGTATTGTGGCGTGTGTTCTACTGATAAGATTTTTCAGTAGTATGTAAAGAGACGTTCATCGGGATAAAAATATGAAATAGTGGAGAGATAGACTTGACATCAAAGAGAGTAAATGAACCAGCAAAGTTAAACTTTAAGCACCACTAACTACCAATCAGCGAATGACCTTCAACAGACCAGTCACATGAAAGAGGGATTTTCGATCATAGAAAACGTATATTTATGAAAAAAGCATAAAAAACTGCATACAACTGTTACATAGGGTATCTTTCTCTAACATGTGACAGAAACATCTCCCAGTTTCGCCAAGGAGTGTCAATAGAAAATTCACACCACATTCTGTACATATATTCATCCAAATGGCTATAAATGAGATTCTTTTGAGATCCATTTATAGCCCTAATCCTATTTTTCAGTCTTCCCCAAAATCGATCTATAGAATTTGTGTGTCTCCGTAATGGGATCCACAAAATCATTAGAATGGTTCACTCAGTGATGAATATATCCGAGAGACGACAGGGAGTTATAACCTTTCCATTCATCAGTATGTACTATGGATCCTTGTTTCACAAGTCCAGTAATAATAGGTATTAAAATAGTAGTTGACTTTCTGTCTGGTATTCTCTCCACGAATCCTTTCCGTAGGGAGGTGTCAAAAAAAACAATCAACCAAACATTGTTGGCTCGCTCGTGACCACGGATTCATTTTTTCTTCAGTAACACAGTTTCGTCCACGTGTACGATGACACCTTCTCTGCCTAACAACGAAGTAATTCTCTCCATTTTCCATGAGGCGATGTCTCTGCAGTGCTGGTACCACTAAACTGTTGACACGAGGTTATTTTCGGTCTCAGCAACTACGCCTCTCACAGACTGTTTTAAAACCCAGTAATTACAAATATATAAAATCTGGGTTAGGGAGCGATGCGACCTAGCAAAAAATATTCCTACGAAATATTAAAATCATCAGCTTATCTGATCTCAAGCAAATTGCACAACGATGGACATATCCATCAATCGACCTGCTAAAGCTTTTTAAATTCATGACACCACCAAATGAACAAATCCTCTCCCTCCTAAGCATCCCGAAATCCAGGTAATACAGCAAAGCCGTATCCTTCTCGAACTGCAAGCGTAAGTTCGTTAGAGCACGCATTTGAAACGAATCAAGTGCTATACAACCTTGAACTCACGTGCATGAACCTCATTTGACCATTCGAGGTCGTTCGCTGATTGGTAGTTACTGGTGCTTAAAGTTTAACTTGGCCGAAAGTAGCACAATAACACGAAAGATCTAGGCGCAAATGACCACCATATAGAGATACCAAAATAGCAAATAAACATTCCCTTACTAGGTCTCTTGTCTTTCACCTTTACAATATTACTGCTGAAGTCATAGTTTATTATGCTTAACACTTGATAATGTAATTTATCGGATCAGCTGAAAGCCTAAGATATGATTCATTTAATTAATTAATTTATTTATCAGACTGAATGAGAGAAAGTGACTCTCTGAACAAGTATAATCGTGATTTGCAATGCAAGTTATGGAGTGAAATTAAACTAACATCAGACAGCCTAATCGACCTAACGACTAACCCTGAGCAAATAGAATGGAGGTGCAATAAAGTTGGCGAAATAGTTCTGAGAGCCATTTGTATCTTTATATAGCGAAAATATTCATTCAGACATCTATAAAAGACATAATAATTGAGCAAAGAATATCCCTCTTTCGATAAATTCCTCTTCTGCCTCTACAACTATATACATATGTTTATATACATAGAATATTCTAAAATAGTAGACAATAACAACATTAGTGCTTTTTAAATAATATCGCTTTGTTACAGTTCATTGAAGATGCTTAAATTACAGTAATAATAATAAAATTATAATAGCCAGTAGAATATCAACTAAAATTAGGGAGATTTCCAAAAAAATTGAGGTTCATTCAAACCTGGATGGACAAGGTAAAGATAATGTCTGAACTAGCTTCTTTTGGACGCACAAATTAGGCTTCTTGATGTGGATCCCAACAGCTTCAGCAGTATTTATTAATCGAACTCTTAAGGTGAAGTTAAAATTTGTTGATATGCGGTAAATGACTTTGAAAGCCGTCTCGTTGACATCATCTTGTGTTCTGTATCCACAAGATGGGATAGGATAGCGTTACGAATGGATTTTGTTTGATCTTCACTTAACTACCATTCAGGGTGATGTTTTGTAATCCGACGAAAAACACACATAATTGTTCGGCCTATGTAACTGGCTCCACAGTTAGATAGATAGTTTTAAATTATTTTAAAATAATACTATGTATTTATTGTATTACTTACTATTCACAATATTGTGTATATATATTGTGTGCTTTGTCTTTTGACAAATTTTAGGCATAATGGCTGGATTATTTAGCCTACAGGATTTAGTCGACATGATGTCAATTGGTACATTGCTTGCATATACTCTGGTTTCTGTATCTGTACTGCTTTTAAGGTAACTGCCTTTTCAATTCATTGAACATGCCTATGAGCAATTTACAAGATTGATTAGTGTAGAAAAAAATAGATATTCTTTCCGACAAATTCGTCATTCCGATTCACTCACCATTCGTACATGACTTTGATTTAATTAAAGAACGATTGTTATTAACATAACAATATCAGTGTTACAAAACTACATTAAACCAATAATATCCATACATAGCATTTCAAAAAACAATGGTTAGAGATGAGATGCACTAATATTACACTACACTGACTGAACAGTCGACAAGTTAAGGTGAGCCACACAGAATGTATGGGCTCGATAGCTGGCAAGGATAACAGTAGTGGCCAGAGCTGCTTCTTTCACATGCAGATCTCCAGTTCTCTTAGACTAATTGCAATGTCAATATATGTGTAAAACTTTGTCTATTAAATGAATCACAAAGTGACGAAACAGTATTATTTACTGAGTGACAAAGTTTCGAACACTATTCATTACTGTTCATAATCATTTCATCAATTATAATCACACAACTTCGAAACTTGAGTTTTATAGTCTACTTTGTCCTTTCCTATTGGTCATCGTTGAGGTAGTAGAATTTTCCAGATATCCATTCCTATTACATGTGTTTGCAGTTGATTCGATAAACAAAGCTTCTGTTATCAATCTCTCCCTATACCCTGTTAGTTGCATTAGATTTTAAAACTACTGTCATCTTATCTCATGCAGCCTATTGCATGGTGATGTGTAACTGCATGTAGTGCTATAGCTGAGTTATTCTCTAGATTTCTTATAAGATAAGAAATGGGGTCAACTAATATAGGTTTTGCTAGGTTTTATGCTCGGTTAGTCCGACTGATTGCCCCTGTTCTACTACTTTGACCTGTGTATTCGACCTGACAATCATTCCTGAAGGGCATTAGATAAACTAAATTGTTTTGTTTTAAAGCCTCCACAGGATCCTCAAACCGACAAAGCTTGTTTCTAATTGAGTTTGTGGGTTTGATTACGAACCAATTTTATTCCTGCCTTGTTAAGAATTCTGCGTAAGGTTTCCGAAGTTCCTTCCTTGTATGGAATTACTAGTGATGATTTAGATTTCTTGTTGTTGGTGTTGTCATTATGTGCATGTTTGACATGCATGTCGTCATTAATATTATTATTATTGTCATTATTATTATCACTATCAAAACTATCATTATTTATTTTATTTTTACATTTCCCAACATATTTCCTGAGTAATTTATCAGGGTAATTATTAAGTTTCAAAGCTTCTCTTATATGCCTCACTTCCTGTCTTAGATGTTCCTCGATACTACTTAGTTTTTGTGCTCTATCACGTAAACATTTCATCAATCCTATTTTCACTGACATAGGATGGAATGATCGGAAGTCCGAATATCTGTTTGAATGTGTGGGTTTCCTGTAAACACTAGTGTTTAACTTCCCATCTTCTTTTCCTTTTACGCAACAATCCAACATTGGAAGTTTCCCTACCTGACTTTGCAATTCATAAGTGAATTGAATTGCCTCCACCTTTTCAAAAAATCTATCTATATCCTGTGTTCTGTGTACAGTGAATGTGTCATCTACATACCTCCACCATACTTTTATGGTAGGGGTGAACGTTTCAATCGCTATGTTTTCTGACCTGTCCATTAATATATCTGCAACAATCGGGGATATTGGTGACCCCATGATGTGATCTAATATCAAACTGTTGATGGCTTTTATCACAGATTCACTTAACCACATTGATAGGTATTCTCAAGGCACAGAAAACTATATTCTTATAGCGACGGTCAGTATAACTAATTCCACAGGATCAGATGAATTGATAGATACAACTAGAGGTTGAATATTGGTGTTGTCAAAACTGTCAACAGTTCTATATTCTTAAAAAGACGGTTGCAACAAAGAAAATTTTCTTTTCGACGAAGTCATCAACCAGGCTGTACATTCGTTTATTTATGTTAAATGGGTGGGAACGTTCCAGAGTAATTTCCGGTCAAGGATCAAATTAATAAAATTTTAATTAGGAATTAAAATGCTATAATAAACAGGGGGACGTATAAAACTCATACAAAGTAGCATCATAATTACTGAGAGAATTGAAATATTGTGCAATTAGGGGTTAGAAATGTATAAATAGCAAAAATAGACAGGATGTTTGGATAAAAAATCTAATGGGATCATAAATAATGTGACGAATGAATGTTTATGCAGTTAGCGAATAAATATGTATAAATAAATGACAAAATCGACAGGAAGTTTGGACAGGAAAATATGGTAGTGTAAATAGGGATTAAGAAAAACTTAAAAATAACATGAATAAAAAGGAAGTTTGGATAAGGCAGACAGTGGGATGGTCATTTCTGTAAGAATTACGGGTTTATGATGGCCATGGCAAGGACAAGGGTTGGGCATATTTCTTTTGGATAGCTAATGCCTCGAGTATGCCCAAATGTCTTAATGTTACTCCCTTTGATATATTTGATTGAATCTTGTATATTATTTTGAAGTACTTTTCGAATGGCGCTGAATGTCCTGAATAGACCAGATGTTCTGTCACTGAACTATATACACATTTTCGATCACATTTTACTAGCCAGGCTGGATAGTGTTCGCGAGCGTGTTTTTCAAGTTGTCACATGGTACGGCCAATGTACTCAGCTCCGCAAGAGCAAGTAAAGCGGTATATGCACATTGAAGTGGCACAATGCGACAGCTTGTCTTTTGTGTTATGGCTGAACAGTTTCTTGCAGGAAAACGTCAATCGTAGGCTCGCGGCGAAGTATGTTTTCCTCAGAGATTTGGAGAGGCGTTTACGAAGGATTTCTGCTTCAATGTCACCTTTGAATTCTAGATTAAGCAGAAGTATCTTATTCAGGACGGATTGGACTTGTTCGGAAGTCTTCTTCGATTCTACATCGGACCACTCCGTGAAAAGTGTCCACAAAGCCAACATTGAAGAATCTTTCCCTATCATCTACGAAGGATCAATTTAACTAACAAAGGCCTCTAGATATCAAACACTCCGAACATTGAAGGACATTGAAATTCGCTTAAAACAGCTGGAGCTCTGCACGCGGAAGAAGCGGCTCCAGCCACCTCTGTTATCCTTGCCAGCTTTCGAGCCTATATATTCTGTGTGGCTTACCTTAACTTGTCGACTGTTCAATCAGTTTTGTGTAATATTGTGGTGAGAGCTGGCTGCTAACCAAAGTTGGTAGATAGTAATGGACGTCAATGTTTATGTCCGCAATATTGGTGGTGAGAAAATGAGAAGAGAGGCTTTGTGTAGGCGGATACAGTTAGCATATGGAGGATCTGACACAGCCACAAAGAGATGCGAAGTTAACTTTCTGTGAGAAACAACCAATCAAAAGAGTGTATCAACAATAATCTACAATAATGTACATTAAAATCTATAAATATGTGTTGATTTCCTTTAATAAACGATCCGTTGCCTGGCCCTTGTCTTCTGTTGTTACAATATTAATGCGTCTCATCTCCAACTGATTTTTTCTAAAAATACTATGTATGGATAATATTGATTTACTGTAGTTTTGAAACACTCATATTGTTGTGTTAATAACAATCATTCTTTAATTATAGCACATTCATGTAAAAGTGGTGAGTGAATCCAAATGACGAATGTGTCGGAAAGAATTTCTATTTATTTATCTTCTTTTTCTTCATTGATCAGTATTTTTTTAACCGCTTTTTGTCTGACAGATTGGTTTCATGACGTTTAAACATCCCACTCGTCTATATAATAATAATAAGCTAGGCATTTCTTTTACATTGATTGCTGAAGAAATAGCACAGTTATCTTTTGTTAATAACACCATTTTTACATTTAGTAAGTCATAGATATACTTACTAATGGTTGACATACATATTTTGGAAACTGACTAGTAATTCTTGCTAGCCAGATAAAAGTGATCTAAGCGTCACAGAACGCACTTGTTCGGTTATTTCAGAGACAAGTTTATCATCAGCAGCAGTGTACTGTATTGTACTCACTCTGGTCAGATGTACTGTCACGGCATAGAATCAAATTTTTCGTTTGTCACTCATTATTATTTCCTTTAATTCCTACAGGAACATAGAGCTTCAGGTCCACGTCTCCATTGCGTTCAGTTCTCTGCTAGAGTCTTCACCTGGCTACAAGTCTGCCCACACGTTTTCATCTCCTCTTCACATCACCTCCTCCAAGTCACCCACTCTTGCACTGTCGACCAACTCGCCGCTTCTCTTCCACGTTCCACTCGAGCAATGGCTTGTCTAGTGATGTCACTCACTTGATAGTTTCCTCAGAGTATGGCCAATCCATCTACATCCATTTCTTCCTGCCTATTTGTTTCACAATCGGTTCCTGGTTGGTTCGCTTATTGCCAGAGATCTCTGTTGCTGATCTTTTCTGGCCGGCCATCTGATCTTGAGTATTGAGCGGAGACAACTGTCAGTGAAGGTCTGTAGTTTGTTTGAGATGCTCTTCATGACGCGCCAAGTCTCTGATCCATATAGTAGCACTGACTTCAAATTGGAGTTGAAAATCCGGATCTTATTTTTGATGCTGAGTGTTGTTGACCTCCACACAGACTTGAGAGTAGTGAAAGCTTGTCTTGCTTTTCCGATCCTCGCTGCTTTGATATCCTCGTCAGTTCCACCCGCCTGTAGTTGAAACGATGCTTCCCAGGTCGGTTGGTGAAGGAGGTTGTTTCTTTCAGGTTCCTTCCATTCATGCTGATCGTTGTCTGTTGTTGTTGTTACTCTTGGTGGTGCTGCCCAGGAATCTTCATCACCTCTGTTTTCTCTATGTTCACCTGAAGTCCTATCTTTGATGCTTCTTCTGCCAACTTGTTGCTTTTCGCTTGCATATCTTCCAGTTTGTGAGAAATCAGACATATATCATCGGCTAAGTCCAGATCCTCCAAGTTTTTTGTGTGAGTCCATTTTATGCCTGTTTCCTCATTGCCCGCTGTTTGTCGCATTATCCAATCTACTGCAATCAGGAAAATCATTGGCGATAGTAGGCAGCTTTGTCTTACTACTGTCCTCACTTCGAAGGATTCCGTGAGTTTCCCGTTGTGGATTACTTGGCATGCAGCATTGTCGTACAGCTGTTGGATGAGATGTATAATTGTCAGTAGCACCCCGTAGTAGCGAAGTAGTTGCTAAAGCACCTCTCAATCGACGCTGTCGAAGGCCTTTTCAAAGTCGATGAAGCTGTCACTTACACAGTGTGAAGTGACAACTACTGACCTCGATCTCCCTAGAAAGCTCAAAATATTCAATTCACAACATTATAATCTGGTCAATATGGGAGGAATAACAGCTCAAAATGAAACAGAAAAAATTATCACCATTTGAACACATTATAGCTGAGTCAACGATACACTGATTAGGAATTAGTAATGTAAGGTGATTAATATTCAGGTTAGTCGTCAAGTGCTAGGTAAGGAGGGGAAATCAATAGACGAGGCTGTGAATTTACATTGATTGAGATGGTTAGGACATGTGTTACGTATGCCTAGCCATCGATCGCCTTCCTCAGCGGGCAGTATTAGCTGACATAGGGTCAGGTTGGAAAAGAGCTAGCCAGTGGTGGTCTAACCAAAATATAGCGTTATCAGTCAATGAAATCCATAACAGTTAGTTCAAGCCACATCGGGAGGTGTAGACTTCCTGAGTGGTTGGGGTCCTCGGGACGGTAAAAACCAATGAAGGCTGGAGACAATTGGTGACATGGCTCAAAATCGTTGCTCTCAATGGCTGTCGCAGACGCATCGACTCCTTGTGACTTACAATACCCAAGAGAACTATATTGTTCTTCGATATTACGATTCTTTATGCTTCATATCTCTGTTTACTGTTTCTATTTTGCATTTCATTCCACTCTCTTCTTTTGCTTTGCGTGCTAAAAGCGAAGTGTGGCAACTAGAACTGCTGCACACCGGTGCAAAGTTCTATGTTGAAGTCAGTCATTAATGTACACGAAAACATTTCAGTTTGCGATTTGTATAAGTCCTTAGAAAATTCACTTCCATAGTCATTGTCACGAAGAATGCTTAGTGAAAAAAGTTTCTGGTTTCATTCACACTAAAATATAACCTTCATGTTCATCGTCGATCAGCATTGGTGGATATACAATTGAGTTGGAAACAGAGTTAAAGGCAATCTGACTAGAAGCCTTTGAGTATTGGTTTCAACCACATAGGTGGGTGGAGACTATCTGACTGGGGACCTTGTGAGCCTTAGAATTAATGGCTAAACACTGTTGATGACATGGCTTAAAGTTGCTGTCAGTGAAGCAGATGCACTGACTCTTTGTGATCTAATTTAATAATTCCTATTTGTAACACTGAGAACACATATTTGGCGAAGAGATTTCTTTCGACAAGTTTCTTATTAAACTGTACAACAGTATATAGATATATATATATTGGTTTTCAATAAATTATTTACTGTGGGGAAATTTCAACTAAGGTGTGAATTAAAGTTTGTAAAATCTCAGCGAAATTGAAATGAGTAATTCCCACGTTTCCCACGTTTGGAAAACTGTTCCGAAATTCTTTTCGGGGAAGTTAATCCAAATTAAAATAACAGAGTTTGATTTGTAAGGATCAGATTTGTTTATACAAGTTTGACTACGTATTGATATCATTTAGAGAACCACTGAAAACCATCACTGAAATACTGGAAAGCTGTTTTATCCTAGTGCTTCGGAAATCATCGGCAGTACGCACCCACCACCACCGCTCGAACCCAGGACCTTCCAGTTACAAGGCAAGGCCACTGAGACTTGATTCAGTGACCAGTCCATGGATTCTAACTTCTACCAACTCGTGATTTAAAGCGACTGGCACCAGCCAATGTCATTCGTGGGAACTCCATCCTCACTCCCGATTGGATGGACCTCACTGGTCATGACTTCTCACTAGAACTCCAGGAAACTCTGTCCTGTAGCAAGTCACTAGCGAGCATCAGATTTGATTGGCAAATTATTCAACAGTCTGGGAGCTAGCTACCTGCATGCATCAAGCGAGACTTTTACATCACTAACTTACTCTATGAGCGTGATCCCTTAATACATATGAAGAGTAAATGAAGGGTTAGACTGAACTCTATATGTATCTACAATTCTTTATACTTCTGTGGAATTGAATACACTTAAAAATTGGTATTAGATGGTTGGAGGCTATCGGCCACAGGAAGCCTTGGACCTAGGTTTCGTGCAAGTTGGCACTCATCAGCAAGGCGTATCTACAACCTTGAAGGAACTGATGTCCCTTCTGAGATTCGAACCCGCGTCACCCAGCGCTGCAGTCAGAGACGTTACCACTGAGCTATTCGGGCTCGCGATTGACCTCCTGTAGGACTGTATTGGATATTTTTGATTGCACACTAGTCAGTAACTAGTGTAATGTGTCATACCAACTGAAGTGCGCTTATGAAGGAGCGAGTTATATAGGCTGTTGTTTTAGGCACTTGATTTTTGCTGCTCAGTCGGGAACATCTCCCAGTATGGCTAAGTATAGGCGTAGTGAAAACCATCAACATTTCAATATTAGACCATCTGATCAAAACCGGCCGGCCACAAAGCCAGCCAGCATTGAAGATTCTTTCTCTATCATCTGTCGGGTACCAAATAAATTGTCAAAAACATCCAGGTACCGAAGACTCCATCAAACAGCTGAGGCCATCGTGATTTGCCTTAAACAACCAGTGCTGTGTGTGTGCAAAAGAAGCAAGTCCAGCCGGCCACTTCTACTGCTCTGACCGGCCTTCATTGGAGACTATAAATTCATGAATCCTGTATTATTATTTTTCCTAATTTATTAGTGTATTGTTATGTCGATGCTATTGAACTGTAATCCATTGATATTATTATTATTTCTAATTCAATGTTATTCAAACAACAATAATGGCGTTAATAACACTCATTCACTGTAATGAATACATAACTATAGAGCCTGATGATAAAGGGGTTATTGAAAGGAGTACTCTTTGTTCCTGTATCCATTCTTTTTCTTTACCTTACCCCTAACAATTTTCTTCCTAATTAGCCTCAATTCACTCTATTTTATCTTCTCTTCAACATTAACCGACTGTATTTGAATCACTTTATGACTCTTATTATCAATTCCTTTCTTTAGAGTGTTGTTGTCTGTGTTTTTTGTTAGATATCCACTTCATCTCTACTCTTGTAGCGATCATAGGAATTAATTTTCTGTAGTATCTATATTAATTAAAGAAGTAATAAATGCGAGTAGTTGCCTTTCTGTGTAATATAAATGTGACTGTACAGCTATTCCCCTTATTCACGAAGAAAAGGGGAAGATTTCTTCGTCATCTGAAGGATTGTCTGGATCCAGCAACAGTCAGAAATATGTTTCTAATTACTCCAAAATGTTTTCAAAAGTTAGTCTGTAGGAATTTGATTTGCTTCAAGTTTGAGCACGGATTGATATCTATTAGAGGACCATCGAAAACTAGCGGATACTGGACAACTACTCGATCCTAGTTTGGAACTCTCCAGCATTAAGTACTCACCAGGACCTAGTTTGGGATTCCTGTATTTTTCAGCCACTGGGCTGAATGGTATATGGGGTTACCTTGTACACCGAAGATCCTGGATTCAAGCCTCAGTGAGTTCGTTCTGATGAAGAGTTCAAAAGTAGGACCAAATATCTGTCCAGTATTCCATGGCTTCAAATATAAATCCCATGTCTGCTTGCGTCTTAACTTCTGTATACTTTCACGCAAACGCAGTGAATTAAGCAGAAATAGTGCAGTTCATAAATCTTATCCATCAGATACAGGAGTGACTTCCAACATCCAGTGAAGATTTTTTTGATTGGACACTAGTCAGCAACTAGTGTAATGTGTCTAGTCCTATCTTCGGTACAGACTGAATTCTATCAGTCAAGCTTGCAATGTGGCCACCTTGTCACTAGGTGCCTTGCCATCACGGTGCATTGTGAATTGTTGGTATAAGATGGTTGCAGGCAATCAGCAAGACAAGACACATTACACTAATTCCTGACTAGTCCTACAGGAGGTCAATTGCAGGGCTAAATAGCTCAGTGGTAACGTCTCTGACTGCACGCGGGTCCGAATCTCGGAAGAGACCTGAGTTCCTTCAAGGTTGCAGGTATGCCTGCCTTGCTGACTGGTGAGTGCCAACTAACACAAAACCTAGGTTAGCCGAGGCTTCCTGTGGCCAATTGCCTCCAACCATCTAATACCAACAATCCAGTGAAGACTTCGTTTGTGTTCTTCATAATCCGTAAACATTAATGTGTGCAAAAGAATACTACTCATCCTTTTACTATTATTACTAATATTATTATTATCATAACTCGAATTCAGTGAGTCTTATATTCTTGTGTTATTTTCTCCTCCTCCTCCCCTTTCGTCTAATTTTAGGGGTCAAAGAAAATCAGTTGGATATCATGATACTACTAGTGATAACAGTAAAACCTATCCGACAGAAATTGAATGTCAATCAAATGAAAAGTTGGGATTGTCCGAGTAAGTTTCTTCACGTATCCATCTATCTATCTATCAGTGGCACACAATCAGAAGGATAGTGAGAATTTAAAAAAATTTAATTCTTATTCCTATAATCCCGCGATTCAGTGGAAGAATGCTTGCCAGCTACTGGGGTTCGATTCCCTGACGATGTAGTCTTAAAACTCAACTATTTTATTAGGCGGTAACTAAGATCTAGAAATCTTTCATCAACAGTTGTCTTCACACAATACTCAAGATCAGATGGCCAGAAGAGATCAAGAACAGGGATCTCTGGCAATGAGAGGACTAGCCCAGCAGGAACCGATTTTGCAATAAAAATGCAGGAAGAAATGGAGGTGGATTGGATTGGCCATAATCTGAGAAAACAAAGCATCAAGTGAGTGAAATCACACGACAAGCCATCGCTCGAGTTGAACCCGAACAGGAAGCAGCTAGTTGGTCGTCCAAGGGTGACTTGGAGGAGGAGAAGGTGATGTGAAGAGAAGATGAAAGCATGTGTGCAGACGCGGAGCCAGGTGAAAACGTTGGCAGAGAACCGAACACAATGGAGACGTGCGCGGCTGAAGCTCTATGTTCCTCTAGGAACTAGAGGAAACAATACTAATCATAAATAAATAAGATCTAGAAAGACGGAATGCTGGGTATAAAGGCTAACAGCGCGACCTTACAAGAGTTATACCATTGATACTATAATTTCAAAGATTGAAGCTTATTGCCACACTCAGAACGCAGGCTTTGAAAAAATTGTTAGTTTCAACCCTCTTTTAGATGTACATTTCAAGAGGACTATTTCATTATGCATTTGAGATGAAACTTAGGTAGTTAGAACTTAACTGTACGGATCAGATTTTACATCTAGAGGGATACCAGTAATACTTATCGTGTGAGATTTGATGACACTCTATGGCTGTCGAGGTCGAAATAAGTAGAGTGAGGATTAGAATCCAGAAGCAGCAAGCTAAAATCAGAACTGTTGTGATTCCTCAAAACCAAGGCCGTCAAGTACAAGTTCCACAGCCTGTGGTGAGATGTCATCACCGTTTTCTTTTAGCAACTGTAACCATTTGTGATCGACTCAATATCATGAATAATAATTAAGAAACCAAGAGGAATAACCAGATAGTACATACTACTGATAACAGTCAGTAGTTAGAAACTAATTATGTTAAGTAAGTAACCATATCGAGATGGTTTAAACGGTGAACAGCCGTCTCATTCGTTTGAAGCACAAATCTGAACGAATTGAACTGATCCGGCTCTCTAGGATGAGCTCGATCTGAATGGATCTTTGGTTAGAAAGTAGCAACCTTTTGACGTGACTGGTTCTCAGCTGCTCTTATCAATCAGTAGAGTATACTATTAGAGTATTCCGTTCAGCTGAATGGTTGTCATTCATGAGATATGTGGTTTCTAAATTATGAAATTGCCTATGGTTCTTTCTGTCTGTCTGTTGTGTCTCGCCTTAAAACTATTCACTGCCAGATTTTCCTCACTGAGTGAGCTACAAATAACTTGAATTTTCTTCCTTTCGAAGTTTGACTTTCAGCCGATGGGTCCTGAAACCGAGTCCTGCCTCACTTATTTTAGCCTCCATAGATAGGTAGCGCTACCAGTCTTTACACAATAAATGTAGCGCTTAACTGTTGTCCAGCAACATTACATTAAATCTTTTATTGGAACGAATTCGATTCAAATTTTGCTTTTTGTTTTTGTTTTTTGGTCATTAGAGAAAAACCACAACTACCCAAATTTGTAAATGATGTAGATAAAGTTGACACTCCGTGTAATGATGGTGAGAAGCCAGGAAAAGATAATGGTCACCTACCCGATTGTAATGAAGCATTCGTTTGTGTGATAACAAATTCAAGTCCAAGGTAAGTGAGTAGATTTAATGCGTGAGAGTGTAAATGAAGTTTGATTCGTTCTATTTGTGTTTTGCAAGTATCCTGAAGAAATTATCTATGGACGTTGTTTTGAATTTCCTGTCTGTTGCCATGTCGACTTACCGATCCCCCCGCTCAAAGATTTGAAGCTTTGACAATTCCTTGCGAGATGGATATGATACTACCTGGTTTATGGTGGTTCACTGACCCAGCAGATAATGTTTTGGAGTTTGAAATTGTGAGTACTGGGTTCGAAAAACAGTAGAAACACCAAACAGTCACTTCCAACTGATGACTTCGGAATAGGGCGAAATACGCTTCTTGGATTCCACTGCTGGCCACCACCAACCAGGTGGTATCCCGTAAATTATTTTAAATTATAAGCGATTTAAATTGAATATCGAACAAAATTATAGAATCCTTTGTCATCTGGTTCACCGTCACAATATTATTTTAAAATGTTAGTCCTCAGGAGTTTGATCTGATTGGTTACAGGATTTCATCATGAGCTGAAATTGGTTAGAGAACCATTGGAAGACCACCTGGGAGTACTGGACAGCTAGCTGTTTTGTCTGCCTAGTTTGAGACTTTTCATCAGTTTGCACCCACCAACAAGGTTTGAACCAAGAACCCCCCGCTAACGAGGCAAGCGAGCTCGTAGACCATTAAGCCACTGGGACCCAGCTGATCCAATGACCAGTCCATGAAGTCCAACTTCTGCTAATTCACACACGATATGCCACGAGTGAAACTAGCGAATGTCATCGCTGGTGAGTATTTGTGCTCACACTTGACCTGCTGTACCCTACTGGTCACGACTTATCACTAGAACCCAGGTAACTACCTACTTGAATAGGAACGTCCTGGGTTTGAACCTCAGTAGGTGAATACTGCTGAGGAGTCCCAAACTACGCCAACGAAACAGCTGCCCAGTGTTCCCAGGCTTTCTAATGCTTCCCTAACCATTGTCAGCTTATGATGAAGTCCTGTAAACAATTGTATTGTTTGTATTTCTGAGTCTGAATACACTGAGAATCATATGATTTAGATTCAGCTAATGGTAGCAAACAAAGTTACTACCCAAGTACCCTACCACACATGTGAATCTTTCTCTCGAATTCTGTTTTAATAAATTCCCCACTTTCTATGTTTTAATTGCCGGCGAAGTTAAGGTGTGGTGATCTGAGACAACAACTAACTCGGTGACTTCAGTGTGACTAATCAGAGTTAACACGAATAATTATGTCAGAAAAAGAAAGAGTGGTGTAATCACCCGCGTGAATAGGGCCAGTCGCTAGTGAGCATGTCATTGATATTCAAATCCTGATATTGTCGAGTTGAACTTTATATATATGGTTCTGTAGTCATGTTCTTAATAGTCTCTATACCAGTGTAAGTCATCATATCACTGTCTCGGTTTATTAGTCACAAACAACTGCGACAAACGTTTCTAACTAAAAAAGACATTAAGCTAACGAAATAGGACTCTTTTTGTAACTTTTCCTCAAAGCTACACAGTTTTTTGAGGATTATACGTATTCGTTACGGCGTTAATTGTCAGCAACTGTTAGAGGTTGTTATCTCATTTGTAACAACAGAAGGCAAGAGTCAGGCAACAGATCATTTATTAAGGAAATCAACGCATATTTATATATTTTCATGTACATTATTATGGATATTTAAGCAAACAAACACAGTCTTCCGATTGGTTGTTTCTCATGTAAAGTTAATCTTTCATCTATTTGTGACTGTTTCTTGAATGTCAAATCCTCTATATGTTAACTGCATCCGCCTACGCAAAGTCAATCTTTGTTCACATTCTCTCACGACAAATCTTGGGGACGTAAATATTGACGTAAATTACTGTCTACCAATTTGGCTAGTAGAAAGCTCTCACCACACTCGTCCCCCCGTCAAATAGCTTCGCGCGCAGGCGTTCCGACCTTCTGGGTGATGCATCCTCTCGTTGATGATTGTTACAGACGGACTTGTCCCAATGCACCCATCGTTGGATCTGACTGGCGTTAACTCGTTTTTTTGTCACCTCTTCTGATGGTATATACTTGACTACGTCTTTTTGTGACTGTGTATGGTCCTTCCCACTTTGGACACTGTTTGGCTGACCCTGCCACACATTTGTAGGTATTTCGGGTCACACTTTCATATGCTGCAGTTTCCCGACCTCCCAGCAGCGTCCCAAGTAGCAGCCTCATCGCTGACAGATCTTGGACGCCACTCAACTGCGAAGAAGCCTCAAAGTCCTGCCCGAAGATCCATATGTCTTCATCAAGAAATGCAGGGCATAGGCTTTCCATTTGTCGGTAGGCAGCGACACCAATTGTAACGACAGAAGGCAAGGGTCAGGCAACAGATCATTTATTAAGGAAATCAACGCATATTTATATATTTTCATGTACATTACTATTGATATGTAAATATTGACGTAAATTACTGTCTACCAATTTGGCTAGTAGACAGCTCTCACCACACCGGTATTTATCGACATTGACTGTCGCTTAGCTTCAGGAAGTAGAGTTACAAGATTGGAATGAAGGTTAGCATTTAGTTTTAGGCATATTTTTGTCTGGATTGTCTATTCCATTAATCCTGAACGACATTCACTTAACAGTAATAATACTTGATTTCCTCGTAATCACTGCCTTATCATGTACATAAACTCTAACTGGTTCCTTGAAGTCCAATAGTTCTCGTGTTCACTGGGATCGGCATTCTTCAGATTCGTTAAAGATAGATTACTAGAAAGATGTTTTGCTTAACGTTCTACGTTAGGAAGTTAAGACAGTCTGGTATAAAGCAGTCTTTGCTTTCTCAGTTTCTAAATCCTTGTATTCTAACCATCCGTCTTTACTGCTCCCCATTAATCTTCCCTGGACTACTTAAGAAAGACTTTGCTTCGCTGCATAGGGCACTAAAAGCTGTTAGTAGGGTAAGTAGGATTTCGTTAAACCAACTGGTTAACACTATTGTGGATAGACATATAATGTCATGTAAGAAACTAGCGAATTCTATGTTGTCAGACCCCGAACAGTCTCTCTATACGCAGCTCTCTCCTTGCATTTCATCTGGTAGAACTAGAAGCAACTATAGGAGGCTATATGCCAGGACTACCAAGTACAAAAGTTCCACAATACCTTATCTGGCACAGCTGTTATGTGATGAGAAATCCGTTACGTATGACACGATCAACTTACTGCGGCACTCTAACAAATAGTTCCCATTAGTTTTTGTTCTCCTTTCTTTGTTACTATTATATTGTTGTTCACATCTTCTATTACAGACTAATTTTATATTTCATATCCTGTGGTGCATTGTTTAAATATGTGAATGCAATGCTGTTCTTTTTTATTTCTTTTATTTCTCTTTTTTTCTTTTTGTTGTTGTTGCTCTTTATTTTTAAATCCTTATAAAATTTATGAGGTAATTAGATGCAATATTGTAATGCAAGCTGAAAATTCCATACCTGTACCACAAATACTGTTTGGAATAAAGCTATAGTTTCATGAAATTCCACACACTTCATTGGATATTCTTTTGCTTTCATTTATTCTGGTGATTTTTTTCTTTCCACAGTTGTTCATCGTACACTTTAGAACAGACAAATGATTCTGAGAAATCAAATCTTACATTTAAAGAATATCTGCATAAATGTTTCAAACCAGATCCTAATCTGATCAAGCCAACTGCAACAACTGAAATGATATATAATATTAACAGTTATTTATTATGTAAGTACAAAGAAAACATTATTGATTGATTTATCGATCATTATTTTTTTTTATTGAATCAATAATTAAATATGCTTATTATTATCACTACTAAAATGGGCTCCCTGGGGAAACATAAGGCTGCGACAGCATATCTCCGTTTCACTCTGTTCTCTGCAGTCTGTTTAAACCTGGCCCACGATTACGCAGAATTTTTGACTTCCTCCACACACGATCTCCTTCATGTCACACACTCACTCAACTCGTTGTTTCCCAATTTAGATTACTGTAGAGAGCCTGTCGTGTAGTGTCGCTCAGCTGTCTCCTGTGAGTATGCCCAACTTATTTCCACTTTCTTCTGCATATCCGTTTGGCAACAGGTTCCTATCAGATGAGTTTATTTTATGTATCAACTGGATGTGACAAGGTTTTGAGCATAAATTATTGCTACTCATAATCATATTGTAACAACAGAAAACCAGGGCCAGGCAACAGATCGTTTATTAAGGAAAATCAACACAAATTTATAGATTTTAATGTACATTATTGTAGATTATTGTTAGTAGGAAATACAGTCTTTTGATTTGTTGTTTCTCACAGAAAGTTAAGCTTGCATCTCTTTGTGACTGTGTCAGATCATCCATATGCTAACTGTATCCACCTACGCGAAGTCTTTTTTCTCATTTTCTCATCACCAATATTGTGGACATAAACACTGACGTCAATTACTGTCTACCAACTTTGGCTAGCAGCCAGCTCTCACCACAATATCAATTTTTGCCGCATGGTTTCACAGTTTATCTTCTACGTATATTTTCTCTCTTTCCCTCTCTTCCTACAACTTCTTGTTGTTGTTTATTGCCACTTTCCATATCTCCCGTATAGGCGACATTGCGTTATTCCGATTGCACGTGTGCGATGTTGAATCGATAAACATTTTAGTACTCTTACCTTATCCCATACTATTTTGTGATTACATGCAAGTGAATGCAATGCAATGACTGAGCCTTTTTCTAGGTTATTTAAATTAGCAGGACCAATCATTCTGGGTATAGTTGACTTTTAATGTTCCAATAATCGAGTTGACCCCAGTGTACTAGTTTGACCTATGTAACTGACCTCACAGTCATTAATTGCATGGTATTTGATAAATTATATTACATTTTTTACATGGAGGATTTCATCATGAGCTGACATCAGTTAGAGAACCACTGGAAAACCTGGGAGTACTGGACAGCTGTTTCGTCCTGGTTTGGGACTCTTCATCCGTACGCACCCGTCGGGATTCAAATCCATGCGTATTGCTGAAGAGTCCCAAAATAGGACGAAACAACTGTTCAGTACTCTCAGGTTTTCCAGTGGTTCTCTAATTGATATCAGTTCATGATGAAATCCTCCATGCAATCAAACAAAATCCCTACAAAACCATTTCATTTTAATTAAATCTATAGGGTCCTTAAGCCTACAAACTAAGTTTATCTCTGAGAGATTTGGTTGGTTTAAATGCCACCCTGACTAATTTCAGCCTGACTTAGAATCCTACATATGGCGTCTGAAGTGCATTCTTTATGCGGCAGTACTACAGACGCTTTGAACTGTATATTATTCCCGTCATTTTCGTCATTTTTATAGCTAATCTTATTTTTTTTTCTATGGTTCTTCCTATATTTCTGAATAAATTCTGGTGGATACTTAGTTCTTCACCAGTGATATTTCCTTTATTTGTTTGATTTCATTATATAAACCTTCCAGCTTATTAGTTAGGCTCTTGGCTCGATTATATGGACATTTAACTAAACCTGTCTTAACCGATTTTGGATGGGATGAATTAAAGTCTAAGTATTTATTAGAGTTTGTTAGTTTCCTATGGATGCAAGTATCTAACCGCCCAACATCTTGTTTTCGTTTTATTCTACAGTCTAGGAAGGCCAACTCACTCTGTTCGTTTTCGAACTCAGAAGTGAGTTAGAAAATACAAATTGTGCAACCATGTGACTAAATTGATATGATTATGGGTGGCAATAATTTTTGCTGGAAACCTTGTCATCCTGTTGTTAATACTCAATCATAACTGTGTGAAACATACAATAAACTTATCTAATATGGAATTATATCCTGCCACACTGCCAAAGTTCTACACCTACATTAATAGGTTGGTTTGTTGTCAGACGAGTTCCCCGTTGATTATCCTTCGTGATCTTCAGTATGAAGCGAAGGCAAGTGCAGAATAAAGCCTGCAGTCTGTACTCCTCGTATTAGCAAAACCATTCTGTGGAATATAATTGCCAGTATCTGATTAGATGGACGATTTCATCATGAGCTGACATCAGTTAGAGAACCACTGGAAAACCTATTTTGGAGTATTAAACAGCTGTTTCGTCCTAGTCTGGGACTCTTCACAGTACGCGCCCATCGGGGTTTGAACCCAGGACCTTCTAGTTACAAGGCGAGCTCGTAGACCATTGAGCCACTGGGACCCGATCCAGGTTTTCCAGTGGTTCTCTAAATGATGTTAGCTCATGATGAAATCCTCCATCCAGTCAAACAAAATCTCTACAAAACCAATACTTGAAAAGTATCTGATTAGTTTCTCTTATGGAAATGTAAATAGAAATGGTCTCGGGCTGGTAGACTTTTATTGATTAAAAAATAGTGATGATTGAGTGTGAAATGAAAATCTGAGTCACTGTAGGACTGAAACAATCCACCCACTTAAGAACGGGAGTGATGACGACTGATAGGGAAAGACCCAGTTGGACAATGAGTGTGATGATAACTGAAAACTTCCCGTGGTGATTGCAGTGAAAAAATCACCTGGCTAGGTGATTATCCGGTAGAGAGACGAATAATTAATTCCAACTCCTCTGATTCGAATCCTGTTATTTCACTACCTTTAAGTATCACCCAGTAGTGAAATTATCTTAAGTAATTTCACAATGCTTTAATCCTATTTAATGACCTAACTGCTCCGTGTGCGTCGGTAGTACAGCGGTTAGGACACGCGCCGACCACGCACATAGTTCGAGATTCGATCCCCGGCCACAGACGCACTCCTCCTTTACATCGCTAAGCCAGTAATAGAAAAAAGCTGGTAAAGAGGAAAGGTTGGGCATGATGCTGGCAACCCTATCCTCTAAAAATAATCACCACTGCTAGAGAAACTTCAAGCCTATAGCTTGAAGCCCTTGTTATGTTCCACTGGGAACGTGAAGGAATAAAAAAAACTGTTCTGGAACATTCTTGGTACTTTGAAACACACAGAAATAACTTGGTCTGATTTGTCTTTTTTCAAACATTAAAAGCAGTTAGTTCCCTTTTATGAATTTACATAAAGTAATAAGAAGGAAGACGCATTTTGTCTGAATCGTGTAATGTGTATTTGCGCAACACATTTCGAACAATCTTATCACACACAAAATTGTCATATAAATGAAGAGTTATGAGGTGAGAAAATATACTTGGGTCAAGTTGAAAGGAAAAATTGAAGGTCAAAATAACAATGAATACCACTAAACCAAATAACAGAGTTAACAGTTCATCAACTGTGGCCGATAACAAAACTAAGTTTACCAAGGAAGGTAGTTTTAGTGTGATGACAAATTGTTGCTTTGAACGCATAAAGGTAGTTTAAACTTTCCAATTGCCAGCTAGGGCTTCTACAGACTTTAGGATACGCCCTCCTTCCAAACATGTTTTGTAGATAGGCCTTTAAAAGACGTGTGGCAACATCAATTTTATGCCCTGTCTGTATAATACGTTTCGCAGTAGAGGAGCTAGGTCATCGTTCTGAGGATTCTATTTGCTTCTCTTGCCTTTTTTTATATTTTTAGTTTGTACTATTTTTCTTGGTAACTTTGGTATACTACTTTTGGATAAACTACCCGATGGAGAGTATAAAGGACAACTTACAATTCCAATATGGATATTTGTCGCATTCATGATAATCGTCAGTATTATTATATGCGTCATTTTGGCTAAACAACCTGAGAATCAAACTCCTGTCTCGTTTAAGGTAAGTACCGTCCTTCTAGCCTATCTGTATCTTATATACACGATTTTGTTAAACAAATCTTTGATAAAGACTACACATGAACAATAAAGAGAGAATTTACTGGTTTGTCCCTAGCTTGACACCTTTTTCATAATGCTCACTCATGACTCATACCAGAGATGCAGCCCAAAATGAAAAAATTGCAAGGTTAGCCAGTTCGCCAGTCAGTTATTGGATCGAAATTCGATGACTTGTGAATTTTAACTTCTGATAATTCCTGATAGATATTGTAACGAGGGTTTAGCCCCGTGAATGCATATCTCAACTCACACTCGACTTGATAAAACGACCGGTTGGCTGAATGGTCAACAGGATCGCATAATAAACTGAAGGTCCTTGGTTCTATCCCCCGGTGAGTCATGGGTGCTTACTGCCGAAGAGTTTCAAACCATAAAGAGACAGTTTTCCCCCACTCTCTAGTTCCTAATGTTCCTTCATCTGATACCAATTCGTGACTTAACTCAAAATCAGTCAATTTTCTGCAAACAAATACTTGAGGTTTGATGATTTCACCATCAGCTGACACCAGTGAGAGAACCATTGGAAAACCAGCTGGGAGTACTGAACAGCCATTTCGTTAGCCTAGTTTAGGACTCTTCATCAGTACGCACCCACCACAGAAGTTCCAACCCAGGACCTCCTGGCTACAAGGCGAGCCCTATCCAGGCAGTTAACCTGGGGTTCTAGTGGGAAGCTGTGACCAGTAAGGTACAGCAGGTTGAAGGTGAGGTAGTAACTTATCGGAGAAGACATTGCGAAGTGGTCGCGCTATGTCATGAATTGGCAGAAGTTAGAATTCATGGACTGTCTGTTCATTAGATCAGGTTCCAGTGGCCTAATGGTCTACGAGACCACTCACCTTGTAACCAGAAGGTTCTGGGTTCAAACCGACTGTGGTGGATGCGTACTGCTGAAGGGTCACAAACTAGGTGGACGAAACAGCTAGCTGTCCAGTACTCTCTGACAGGTTTTCTAATGGTTCTCTGACTGATGTCAGCTCATGATGAAATCCTCCAACCGATCAAACATAATCCCTACAAAACCGATACTTGAGAATACCCGAGGTCTTAAATGAAAGGCTAATTAGATTAGATAAATGCCTGCACACCTTCTGAATTGAATTTCCCTGTATTGGGTATATCATTTAGTTTGAGTGAACGTTAGATGGTAAGTAACTGGTATCGTATGTCTAGCCCTTTGGTTGGTGCAGATTAAATTCTGTCAGTCAAGATACCAATGTGCCCACCTTGCTGGGAGACTCGTCATCCCGGTGCACTCTGAAGTCCCGTTGTTAGGTGGTTGGAGGCAATCGACAGGAAACCTTGCTTGACCTAGGTTTCATGCTTCTTGGCATTCACTAGTCAATAAGGCGTTTCTGCAACCTCGAAGGAACTCATGTCCTCTCTGAGAATCGAACCACTGTCATCCAGTGCTGACTGATAGAATTCAGTCTGCACCAAACAAAGGACCAGATACATGATACTAGTTACTTACAGTGTAGTGTTCCATCAAAGTATCTAATACAGTCCTACTGAACTTCAACTGTGAGCTCCAGTACCTCACTGGTAGTATGCATCGGTGGCACAGTGGTTAGGACTCTCGCTGCCCATGCACATGGTCCGGGGTTCGATGCCCTGCCGACGCACACCCGATATCTATTGTTGACCTGAAACATTTGGGCTACCGATATTCGTGCTGAAAATTCCATACTTGCACTGGAAATACGGTATGGCATCAAGCTGTAATCAGACTAAAAAAAACCCATGACTGCAGCAATGAGTGGCACGGGTTCAAATTTCTGAGAGGACATGAGTTCCTTTAAGGTCGCAGATACCTCTGGCTGACTGGTTAGTAGCTTAAAAATCTCCACTGAGTCATATGAAAAAGAGAAGACGTTCAGCGAACAGACTCTTTTTGACGGCGAATTCATTTACATAGCTAGCTGTACAATCGCATTTATATACAGTTATCTTGTGTCTGCTTGTGCGTGTAAATGAGGTTTGTCAAGTTTAGATAATTAATCAGGTAATACAAGAATGATCTAATATAGAAACAAGGTTATTCAGACAGCAACTAAAGTAAGATTTAGTTAGTCAATAAGTGAGATGATGTGATCTGATTGACTAAAATGTTTCAACTTAGGTCAGGGCACGAACAGAGATAAGTAGAAGTAGAGACTAAGTAGAGGTGGGGGAGAGAATAATATCACTTAAATCGGAACTAAAATTGAGCAAATAAATTGGATGACGTAACATAAATGACTAGAAATTGAGTGTGGGTCAGGTCAGTAACGGTGGTAATGAGTTGCAGAAACTAAATCGGGTAGGGGTAGAGAACAGGAGAGTTTAAAATGTAAAATATTACAGTTGAAGAGACAAGATAAATACAAATGAAGAGACAGAAAGAAAAAGAAATCACCTGTTGAGTATCCAGATAGATTACGTCCACTGCAAGCGTAGTGATTGAATGAACTTATTCTGTATGCAGAGTTGAGGGCTTAGCAAGTGATTTGCCATTGCTTCTGCAGTTTGGAGAAGTTTGAGTCGTACACTTTTATGAAGACTGCTTCGCATTCTGTAGACGACTTTGAAGTTTATTTGGGGTGTAGCTTGGTGTCTGGAATCTATCAGATGTTCTAAGATAGAGCTGTGGGGACATCGTTTTTCTTTAGTATGGTTTTACAAAAGAGAAAAACGATGCGAACATATTTTGACTGCAATGACTGGGGTTATTCTTCCTAGTTCTCATAATTTCAGCTATGCGTTGAGGGTGATATCTAGTGTTGCCTGAAAGCTTCAGTGGAATATGATAAATAGCCATGAAAGCGCTTCTTATGTCCACTTAGCAACCACTATTGATACAACGAGACAAAATTCAGATTTTCGCTAATTTGTTTGTGAATTACCGAACTACGAACCGCAATGGTGCTAAACAGTGCATCTGTCGAATTACCTGACTGCTCACTCAAATATTGCTTCCACTAATAGTATTATTACTAGTAGTAGTATTATTCGTCTCTTGGATTCTTAATGTACTATAGGGCTTGAGTAGCACATTGTCATTTCAGTGAGTTCTCCATGATGATTGTTCACAATCTTTCATTAACTCCTTGCACAATCTCCTGCAATTCACTCTCATACCCAAGCCCAACTTGTCATTTATCATTCAAGTTCCACTGGTTGGCTTGTTGTGTGATTCCACTTGTCTATCTTCTCAACGTATTGTTTATTCCATCCACGTTTCTATCTGAATATCTCCCGGGGAATAGAACTTTGAATGGTTCAATGCCAACCGGGGGTCTTGCTTATCCTTTCTGACCGATCATCATCATCTTCAATGCAGAGTGGAGGCAGCTTTCTCCATAGCAGCAGCTGAGATTGTGAATCCACGTAAAATTGCCAACACTAGGGGAACACTTATCTTTCACCTGATTAAGTGATAATCGGTCAGCCGGAAAATGATAAACAAGGAGTAACGGCAGTTTAATTCTTTGCACTAACTAGTTTTTTGGTTCGTAACATTCATTCCAGTCGCATTGCTTCATTATTTCATACAGTGTCAATTCTACTGCATAAAATCTTCTTTCTCTGTCTCTCTCATTTATATCATAGGTCCCTGGAGTTCCATGGATTCCAGCGCTGAGTATTTTTATCAATGTATACCTTATGGTTAAATTATCCGGTGCTACATGGATTAGATTTCTAGTTTGGATGGCAATAGGTAAGGATATATATATAAACTTATATTTGTTTTATTGATATTTGGACCTTTTTATTTGTGCTGAAATATTTTAAATTTGGACAGTCTTTTTAGGGGGATAGAAATAATCTGCTGGTATTATTATTATTTCCTAGGGGTTCTGAGTGGAACATAGGGCTTCAACAACACATCTTCACTTTGTTCCGTTTTCTCCCGTCCTCTTCAGCTGGGTCCATGATTGACCAAAATCTCTAATCTCCTCCTCCAAAGCACACGATGTCCTCCATGTCACTCATCGCTTCTCATTCACGCTCCACTCGAGTGATGGCCTGCATTGCGCGCAGTGTCATTCGACAGCGTCCTCAACATATGCCCTTTCCATCTCCATTTTCTCCTACATATTTGTTGAGCGATCGGCTCTTGCCTCTTTGTTTGTTCCCAGTCAGAGTTTCTTGTTGCTAATTTTTTCTAGCATGCCAGCAGGACGGCCATTTGATCTTCAGTCTGGAGCCAGCCAGCGAAGTGATCAGTTATTGATAGAAGTCTGTAACTTGTTGGAAATCTTTTTCGTGACATACAGTGCAAGGCTCTGACCCGTATAGAAGAACTAAATGACTTCACATTTGTGTTGAATAGAATCCGAATCTTGTTGCTTATACTGAGTGAGTGCAGATTTCCAAAGATGGCATAACCTTTCTGAAATTATTGTATGCTTGTTGGTGTCAGCTTTCTCTAAGCTGGATTGTTTAACTGCAAAGTTTAACGCCTTATCCTTCTGAATAATATCTTCACTGCTACTAACCTCAGTATGAAGTGAGCGTATTTCCCCTCATCCATCTGTATAAGTTACAAATTTCAACTATTCTATTCTGATGACGTTTTTGAGGTGAGAGACGAAAACAGTGATCAGTATTTACTCCATTAGTCTTTGATAAGTTTCTTTTCATCGGTAACATTTGATACAGAAGTAATTTGTAGAAATTTTTCCCAATCTAGAAAATGTATTTAATTGGTGGATGGTGACTAGCAGTGGAATGCAGGAAAACGCACATTTCGTCCTATTTGGGACTTGTCACTGGATGTACCTGGATTCCTTAGTGAGTGATGATTTTCCCACCGAGGCGTGAACTCAGTGACCATAGTTTCAAACGCTAAAGCGTCAACCACTAGACCACTTGGGCCACAAGAGCCACCTCTTATACAAAGGGTCATATTAATTATTTAATCGAATTTTGGATTTTCCCGTCGATTGATTGGACCAAAGTGCTCGGTCTCAAGTTGACATGTTTGTCGGCTTCTTGTGCAGATGCTTCGACGATGTCTGGGTATGTAATTAGAAGTTAATTGGTGGATGGTGACTAGCAGTGGAATCCAGGATAACGCGCATTTCGTCCCATTTAGGACTCGTCAAATGGAAGGTATCGATGAGCACGGAAGATACGATAATGCCTCAGTAAGTGGGGATAATCCCCTACCACCACTCCCAAGTGCACTCATTTGATTTACACTGAAAGACAGTCAGTAAACCTCGAGAGAACTATGATCAGATTGCCCAAGATACAAGTTATATTTTGGGGATCAGTGCTGTTAAGCACTAATGCATGGTTAACTAATTAGATGTAAGTAAGCAGCCGAATATGACACGATAGCGTGCTGAATCACCTCGGTGGTTGATGACATAACTCCAACCTAACCAGTTAACTTAAACAGTAGGGGGTCATCCCTGAATGTTGAAGTTCTGTTCCGATTCAAACTTTACTGTCTCTATGACGTCATTTAGTGAAAGCAGAAGTGATTGGTTATCATATCTATCTCCAACTTTAGTGGTGAATGAGCTGTTATTGATACAACTAATATCTTTTGCACAATGGATGGCTGTTTTAGTCCAATGACTTAATGAATAACTTTTTGACATTCACAGTGATGGACGCTAGGTTTGAGTCTCAATAAGAACACTATCACTCCCTTCCTCACTCACTCACTGTGAAGATGTAGGCACGCGCGGATGATGAGTCTCAAGTAGGACGAAACGTACCTCATAGATTTCGCAGTTATTCACAATCACGCTGGTAAAACTGACTTCTTTGTCGGTTTGTCTCATTTAACTCAACAATCAGAAAGTCATTATAGTAAACATCCTGTTTTGGATTAGTCACTGGCAGGAGTTAACTGCAGCATCATACTGGAACAGTAGAACACAGTACTATTTCATTGTGGATTGTTTATTTAGCAAAATAATGAAAATTTATGGCAAAATGAGTAAATCTTATTTTGAAACCTTCACTTACACATGTAATGCATTTTGCCCTTCTTTTTTCTTCCTCTTATGCTTTCTATATTGTCCACAATAACATCTTGTTTTTCCTTTTCGTCCCTACTCCACTCAATACTCTTGCAGAAGACATTATATACAAGGTAGTACTCATAAAATCTTGTCAGCGACACGCGTCACACTTATTCCTCCAGTAGAAAAGCCTGGAATGGAGCCACAGTAACCTTCTCAGTGCTACCGACTCTTATTGTACCTTGACGGAAAACTTCTTTACCCACCTGTTCGCTGACGCTGACACGTTTCTAGTTGTCTCATTTTTTGATATTATAAACAGAACTAGGACTCTCAGTGTCGGCCTATGGTCCTTCTCATTTTGGAAGGTGTCTTCGTGAACCTAGCTCGCATCCAACAGTGTACTTTCTTCCTATACATTTCAGGCTCTGACTTCAAATGGCATGCGTTCTTCCATTTCTCTCTGCTCGAATTTTGTGAAGTCAAGCTATTGAGGTTTTTTTCACATTCCTGATTGCTTCTTTCTGTCTCGTTTTCCATCTCTTCATACTCCACTGTTGGTAATTCGGCCAGGTCTTATTTGCTACCTCTGTTTCCCATCACATATCAACTGAAACGGTGACTACTTTGATTGGACACTAGTAATTGATGAGATGCGTCCAGTCCTTTCTTAGGTTTAGACTGAATTCTATCAGTCAGTCGGGTTTGCATTTTGGCCACCATTCTAAGTAGCTCGTCATCATGGTGCATATTGATTTGATGATATTAGGAGGTTGGAAACAATCGGCAGGTAGCCCAACCTGACCTAGGTTTCGTGCTAATAACACTGACCAGTCAACAAGGCGTATCTGGAGCCTTGAAGGAAGGAACTCATGTCCCTTCTGAGATTTTAACCCGTGTCACCCAGCGCCGCCTGCTGTCAGAGACTAGACACATCAAACTAGTTACTGACTAGTGTCCAATCAAAGTATTCACTACAGTCCTACAGAAAGTCAATCTCGAGTCCGAATAGTTCAGTGGTAACGTCTCTGACTGCAGGCGGCACTGAGTGGTGACGTGGGTTTGAATCTCAGAAGGGACATGTGTTCCTTCCTTCAAGGTTTCAGGTACGCCTTCTTTCCTGCCGATTGCCTCCAACCATCTAACAGTGACTACTTTGTTGATTCCTCCATGGGGGCGAAATGTGCTAATAGAATCAGTGGAAGCTCTGTCTCTGAGTTATTTCCCTTTGACATCAGCCACTCTTTCGGAGTACACGGTTACTTCTCTCCATCAAATCACACTAGTTTTTAGATGAATTGACGTTGTTCTAATCGTCTTTATACCCAGCCGCTGCAAATGGGGTATAAATTCTTCACTTTCAATGTAAGAACTCTGATCTGTCGATACAATTTCTGGTACACACACCATGGACTGTAATATTCTTGCAGAAGACTTCACACCTAATATACTACTTACAAAATCACGCCAGCAGCACATACACCACAAGACATTGGCTCAAATAAGTAGTAATTCTACTTACTAAAACTGTATTTTCTCATATTATCTCTTGCATTAACGATTAAGCATTACCAGGTTAGCTCAACAACAGAAAAATGTATAAAATTACATTTTTTCTCTGTCTCTCCACCAAAAGACTATTTTACTGTGTTTTCAACCACCGAAAGAAAAATGAGTGAATGTGTTGCGGTCCAGATCAGATATAGTTGTGTTTTAAAAAAATGTCATCCGATCAGCTGATTCGTTTAATAATTTTTGAAAGTGAAACTGTGTATTATAAGAATAATAAGCAGATTTAGTGTATGGTCTGACTTTCTCGCTCATTGCTGAGTTTGTTCAGGAGTTGTGAAACTGCATGGTAGACTTCATCCCTAACTGAGATTAGTTAAGGAATCTGCCGGAGACCAAGGGTGACTGGAGTAATGTCTTGTCTTAGTTTTGGATCTTTTTTAAACATTGGCTCCACGCGACCTCATCATGAGGTCGAATACAAAACGATCAGTTTACTAACGATCAACCTCCCAACCACTGCCATCCTTTCTCTGCTTGATGACGCCAAAGATTATGGCGTCTCATTACAATTACGCTGAAATTTTAAAAAATCTCTATGAACCGCACATATTTGTATCGATCTGCTCTTCATTGGTGACTCTTTACAACTTACATGTTCTGAAATACTAATGAGAAATCGTAGCCATTTAGATTCACCAAGTCATCCGGGAAAACGGATGCACGGTGACGCGACATCACGAAGTGACTGTGTAATGACAGAGGACAAAAGCCAGGCAACAGATTGTTTATTAAGAAAATCAAGAGGTATTTTTAGATTTTTATGTAGATTATTGTAAGCGGTGAAGCAACTTCTTCTGATTGGTTGCTTCCTTTCTGAAGGTTATTCTGTCATCTCTTTGTGGCCGTTTCTTAGAAAGTTAAGCCATATATCTGCGAATCGTATTTGCACACGTTAAGTCTGCTGTGATGATTGGTGATTTTTTCAAGGCTAAGCTATGTTATCGTTTTTATCATGACCCTGATTCCATACGTAACACCGAAGTAAATTGTTGCTTACAATACTGGCTTGTTCACGGCCAGCTCTCACCACAACTGTAGTTAGAATTTTTGAATAATTAAATTACAACCCGATTACAGAATAGCAAATTTACTCAGCTAGCAATCTGAAAGCTCTGGGTTCAATCTCATGTAGATTATTTATGAGCACTGCTCAAAAAACTCGACC